AGTTTTAACCCTTGAACATACATCTGTTTACTAGCATGTGTGACAAAATAAGTATTCTAAAACTGGATGCTTCGTGATTGTGCTGTGAGCTGAACTAGCCCCCTTTTTCCTGGGACACCATCTGTACTTCAGAGAAAGGTTGACAGACAAACCCTAGAGGATTTGGCAGTCATTTTCTCAGACGTGAATGAAGTGAGCCTGTCATTCCAAGAAACAACTGACATTTGTTGCCAATGATCAAATTCTAGCTTTTAAGTGAAAATGGGAATTTTGGAAAACTTGTTTTGCCACTGTAAGCTGGACGGCTTCCAAATAGTTTAAGACTCATCAGATCAGATAAAATGTAAACCAGTGTGATTTTTAAATATTTTATAATGGAGCATGTCAACACTTAGGAGATCTGCATATACCAGTGAAATAATGTATTCTACATAACCAGAGCATGCGCTACACCGTCACACGCAGGTGAAAGATCTATTCAAGGCGTAAGGCTAGGCTAGTGCGTTTTATTGTAACCAAGTATGAAAAATTCATCGCCAGGGTTTCAGATTTCACATGGCAACCTGCCTCTAAGAAACCATTACTTGTCGAGTTTTGCCAGAGCACCAAATAAGAAGATCCACCATTACCCAGCAAGGCTATGGAGACTCTCCTCCGTTTCCTAACTGCGTATCTGCGTGAAGTCGGATTTTTTTCATGCACTTCAGCCAAAGTAAGGACTCACCGCAGATTGAATAGAGGAGCGCTGTGAGCATCCAGGGTCTTCAGTTAAGCCAGACACAAAAGAGGTTGGCAAGTGCCACTCCCACTGTTTTTCTTGTTTTGAAAAGTTCTTAAAAATAAAAATACATACATGTTATTTTAAATGATTTAATACGTATTTTAAAAAGTCATGGGGTCTTTAATTTCCAATTGAGTAAAAATTGATAGCTGCAACCCAGATAAACAAAGCTTATTGGGGTCCTTAATGATTTTTAAGGGGGCAGATGGGTCTTTGGAATTTCTGTCACGTGACACATCAGGCAGGGGTGCATTTTGGGTAATGGCACCATCCAAAAGTAGCAGGGACTGTGTTTTTTTTGTGTGTGTTTTTTTTAAGATTTGGAAATTTTTTTCCCCATTAAGTTTTCCACATTTTAGTCAAGAATGTAAGTGGGTTGATTAGTTTTTCATCTGTTTTGAATTTCCTCTTAGCTTCTGTCTAAAGAGTTCATGCTGTGGCGATCCACGTGATAGCAGCAGGGACGAGGCGTCGCCAGGGGATTTTCATAGCGTAAGGAGACCCGGCTCATCGGGAGCCAGCACTTGTGTACCTGGTACTGCCTGAGGTTTTATTATTATTCGGACCCTGTTCTTTTAGCAGGTGCTTCATTACAGCTTGGGGTATGGTCTTAGATACAGATAACTTTATCAAAAACTCATGGCTGGTTTGAGGCCAGTAATTTTTAAGGTGAACTCAATTCAAATGCAGATTTTTTAAAAAAGGATTCAGTATCAACCCTGTTGCTTTATATTGTATACATCAGGACCAAAGAGAATCGCAAACTAATGGAATAGGGGGAAATATAGTTAGACTGTTGATTAGGCAAGAGTAAAATGGAAGAGCAGATGGTCTCAGCAGGTTTTCAAGGAAACACCTTTAACTGCTGAAAATAGCCAACGCTTTGGAGATGGTGGGAAATTATACAAGAGGGGGCTCTCACATGGGTGTGTGGAAAGGCGTTTTTAAATGAAGATGATCGCTGTGAAGCTAAATCAACACAGTTTGCTGATTAGCAGAGAGCTTTAAAAAAGCCTTGCTCTAAATAGCCAGGGATGATTTGGAATCCTGAGAGTCATCTCCACGCCCCCCCGCCCCCCGCCCTTATCCTCGGGGATGCGACCCAAGACCCCAGTGGATGCCTGATTTCGGATAGTACCGAACCCTGCCTATACTATGTTTTTTCCTATACATGCATGCCTATGAGAAAGTTTAATTTAGAAATTAGGCATAGTAGGAGATTAGCAATAACTAGCAATAAAATAGAATTATCATTAACAAGAAGTTGCAATAAGAGTTGTGTGAATGTGGTCTTTCTCTCTCTCAAAATATCTTATTGTCCCGTCCTCGCCCTTCTTGTGATGGTGTGAGATGACACAATGCCAGCGCGGTGAGATGGAGTGAGATGGAATTTTCCATTTTAATATTTTCAGATAGAGATTGACCGAGAAGAACTGAAACTGTGGAGAAGGAAACTGCAGATGAGGGGAGACTTCTGTACTTGAACTGTTTGTATATTTGTTCTCTCAAGTAGTTTAAAGAGACCTGCAGTCTTGTGTTTACACTATTCACTGCCTGACAGCCCCTGTAGATAACATAAATAAAGAGCCTCCCTGAGCATGCTTCCTGAAACGGAATCTAGGACTTTGTGAAATGACTGAGGAGCAAGAATGTATGGACACCATAAATATTTGTCCCTTATTTTTATGAGAATGTTAAAAATTATTAGGTATAAAGATATTTTACAGTGATTATTTTTAATGAGAAAAACATGCTAGTAAAATAAAACGTTAGTTTCTAAGTTGATGTTTCTCAAACTGCTCTGTGGGCCTGGATGGGACTAAGGTTGAGGAAATGACTTTTCTTCAGAAGAGGGCTTCTCAAGTTTGGGAAAGCGAGTTTCTGACTCTGCCACCTTGCCCGCTCCCGCCGAGCTGGACTCACTGATGATAGTTGGCACTGCTTTGAATGGCAAGCAGAATCAAAGCACCATGATGGCTTCACATCGAAGGTGCTAGATTTCAAGCAAGCGGGAGGATGATGCTGAATGTTCACTGTCAGGTTGCACTGGCCTGTGATCAGGTTACATTGTAGCTTTGCATTTTTATATTGGACTGCAGGCCCCATGCACGAAATTAATGCGAGAGTAGGCCTTCCCCCAGCTGCCGGCACCGGCTTCCCTCTGGCACCTGGGACCCGGGCTTCCCTCACAGCCCCGGCTTCATCCGGAAGGATGTCCAGTCTAATTAGCATATTATGCTTTTATTATTATAGAGTTGACACTTGACCATTGTTCTGATCCTCATCCAGTTCATGAAATTAGGCAGGGAGTACTCTGTGTCTGGTAGGCAAATGCCTGACACCTTGCGTTGTTCCGTGGCCTTTCTCTGGGAAGGAGCTGGGACTAGAATCCTCATCCTCTGTTGATGTTATCCCTGGGAGGCAGCAAACTTTCCATCTTGGCCCCATTGCAATCCCTTCTTCCTGGTAATGTTGAGCTAACACTCTCTTCACTTTCATCGCACTTGCCAGGCTCTCTCTCCTGGGCCCTCCCTCCTGAGCCCTCCCTCCTGGACCTTCCCTTCTGGACCCTCCCTCCTAAGCCCTCCCTCCTAGGTCCTCCCTCCTGGACGCTCCCTCCTGGACCTTCCCTTCTGGACCCTCCCTCCTAGACCCTCCCTCCTAGGTCCTCCCTCCTGGACGCTCCCTCCTAGGTCCTCCCTTCTGGACCCTCCCTCCTAGGTCCTCCCTCCTAGACCCTCCTGAGTCCTCCCTTCTGGACCCTCCCTCCTAGTTCCTCTCTTCTGGACCCTCCCTCCTGGACACTCCCTCCTGGATCCTCCCTCCTGGGTCCTCTCTTCTGGACCCTCCCTCCTAGACACTCCCTCCTGGATCTTCCCTCCTGGATCCTCCCTCCTGGGTCCTCCCTCCTGGCTCTCCCTTGGCTGCTGCTCACATCCACTAGCTCACTGACCTCCCTCCTTGAGCTCCAAATAGATCCGTTTCCAACTATCTTCTGGCCATGCCACTCCCTTAGTCACCAAGTCACTTCACCCCCAACTGCTGCCCCTCCATATGTGTCATCACAGGAAGCAGAAGCAGGGAGTCACCCTGGACGCCTCCCTTTCCTTCGTCCTGCTCCAGCCTCTTCACCCAGTCACTAGGCCTCGATCATTGTCAGTAAACTCCTCTCTCCTCCCATTTCCTCTCATTTGAACTGCAGCAGGCTCCTGACTTCAGTCTTCAGGTGATTCTGAACATAACTATGGCTGCACCACCCCCCACCACCCTACAAGCCCTTCAGTGGCTCACAGGTGCCCGTAGGAGAGCCTGAGCTTGGCATTCAAGGCCTTGGGTGAACAGGCCCGGACTTTGTTTTATCACCTGCCACCACTCATTTCCTTGAACCCTCCCTGACCTGTGCTCCAGGGGGCACACCGCCCCCCCCCCATTCTTCTAGACCAGCGGTTCTCAACCTGTGGGTCGAGACCCCTTTGGCGGTCAAACGACCCTTTCACAGGGGTCGCCTAAGACCATCCTGCATATCAGATATTTACATTACTATTCATAACAGTAGCAACATGACAGTTATAAAGTAGCAACGAAAATAATTTTATGGTTGGGTCACAACAGGAGGAACTGTATTTAAAGGGCCAGGAGGTTGAGAACCACTGTCTCTAGACTAAGAACCTCAAAGCACAATGCAAATTGAGCTATATTTCTGTTCATCTTGGTCCCCCAGCTCCTAGCGCCATTCCTGGCACATGGGCTTGATATGTTCAAATAAAGTCCATGTGAGTTATTTGATCTGTTTGAAGAAAGCAGTATTTTGTGGCTCTTTTCCTTCCCATATCCTGGCCCCAAATTGCAATGAGCTGTTTTGAGGGATTACTCAGAGATAGCAGTGAAGGTGCTAACAGTGCGAGTGAGTTGACGTGGGGCGTGTTTACCTCAGTTTTCAGTATCCGACAGAGATTTTCCTTTGTACCAGGACATTAATTATGTCAAAACACTTGTTTCTAACATGAACCAATGGGGCCGAGATCAGAACCCAAGGCAGTTTCAAACAAATTAGGTAATGTGATTTAAAACCGCTCAACACAGAGCACGAGTACATCATGGAAAATCTCAGTCTGCGTCTCTGCGTAGCGGGGTATTGTTGAGAGATCTCCCCATCGAAATTCTCTTCATCACAGAGGAAGATTATACTCTGTCTCTCTGTTTTTGTTTTTTCCAACAGGATCAATTTGACAACTTAGAAAAACACACACAGTGGGGAATTGATATTCTTGAGAAATACCTCATATTTGTAAAGGAAAGAACAGAGATTGAACTCAGCTATGCAAAGCCACTCAGGTAAGTTGATGCTGAGAAAGGTTGTTTGTTCGTTAACTGCACAGTGGCTGTGAGGATAGTTAACATTTTCATTTTGTGGTATGCATGTGTAATCCTTTAAATCTTTCTTTTCCCCAACAGTTCAATAGAAACAGTTGTTTTTTAATATAGAAAAGTAATTTTCTTAAAACAGAAGACAAAAACTAAATTATTGCTTTGGGGCTCATTTTATTTATTTATTTATTTATTTATTCGTTCATTTATGTTTTGTGAATCCTCACCTGAGGATATTTTCTCCATAGATTTTTAAGAGAATGGAAGAGAGGGAGGGGGAGGGAAGGAGCAAGGGAGGGAGGGGGGAGAGAGGGAGAGGGAGAGGGAGAGGGAGAGGGAGAGGGAGAGGGAGAGGGAGAGGAATAGAGAGAGACATTGATTGATTGCCTCCCTCACACTCCCGACTGACCAGGGCTAGGGATCCAACCTGTAACCCAGGTACATGCCCTTGACCGGAAACCTAACCCAAGACCCTTTGGTGCACGGGCTGATGTTCTAACCACTGAGCAACATCTGCCAGGGCCCTTTAAAAAAATTTTTTTTCCCCCTGAATTTTGGAGCAGCTGATTTTTTCAGAAAACTTTTTATTGAAATAGAACTTACAAAGAGAGAGAAGTGCAGAAATCACAAGTCACTCCCCACCGGCCCCAGGAGACCGCACTGACCCCTTCCTGCTCACCACCCTGCCCCCGAGGATGGCCACTCTCCAGACGTCTGACAGCAGCAGGCTTTGTCCTGCCTATATTTTATAATTTTTATTTACTGATTTTGGGGAGGGAGAGAGAGAAACATCGATTTGTTGTCCTACTTATCTATGCATTCATTGATTGATTCTTGTGTGTGTCCTGAAACTGGGGATCGAACCCAAAATGTTGGTGTATCGGGACGATGACCTAACCAATTGAGCTACCTGGCCAGGGCGAGTCTTGCCTGTGTTTGAACCTTATGTGAGCATCTTCATTTGTTGGCAGCGTTTGTTTTTGGCTTCATTGTTCTCCATTATGTTTGTGAGACTCAATCACGTTGTTGGATGTGGTGGAGTCGGTTTCTTTCCATTGGTTTCAGTATTTTGGTTGCACGAGTGCCGCAGTCCATCCATCCTTTGCTCGTTTCCTCCTTGGGGATAAAGCAAAGTCCCAGGAGTGGAAGGGTGGGTTGGAGGCTTTGTGATGTTCAGTGTGAGTAGATGGGGCCAGACGATCTTCCAGAATGCTTCTGCTGATGCGCGCTCCCCAGCAGCGTGGGAGAGGCCCCAGGGTAGCATTTGAAAAGCAATTTGGACCTCTTACATCTTTAATGATGAAATTACCCAAGAAATGTATGCCTTTATATAAAATGCTGAAAAGTTTTGGTAGAACTAAGCTTGAACTTGAAGTGGCATGCAAAATCTTGAGTGATTACTGGTTTGGTTGAGTTGATTTGTGCAGATTGTCAAAGATCTAGATGACATGGTTTGGAAATATTCCTTTTTAATGCAAAGATCATCTGCACAAGGGGCATGTCACCTGTCACTGAAAGACTGGCTTCTCCCGGGGCTGCTAGTCGGAAATAAGCACCTCAGTGTTACTCCGGGCATATTTTTATGGATGGCAAGTTTCGTTCCCACGGAGGAAATAAAACGTACAGTGTTGCTCAGTGAAATAATTTTTACCATTGCTGACTCCAGATTGGTTTCTAGTGCCCTGAGTGTACATCAGCCTCATTCATACTTGGAGGCTTTTAGAACCTCAAATACGAATAGAGAATGAGCTGCTTCAATTTGGTCATTTGAATGTTGCCTTGTTGGTCATAAAATGTTTTCTTTCATATGCAAATGGTACCTACAGTTTTAGGCAAAGTAAGGTCTTGCTGTCTGGCTTTATCTCTGCGCTGTCTTTCTTCTTTTCCTATTAGCATAGGCTCCTCTCTGCTGGCGCCTGAGTCCCTCTCTCCTTTGGCTTTGGAGGGTAGTTACGGGATGTCATTAGGGATGTCCTTAGGTTGGTCCTCACATGGTTCTGCATCATTCTGTGTCACGAGGGGAGTGCCTTCTTAGTCCCTCTCCTTCCCAGGATGTCCCTGCTCCCTTCTCTTTCGCATCACTCTGGGGAGGGAACTGAGTGAGGTGAGGACTCAGGTAACAAAACGGGGGCTCACCCCCAATTCCAGGATAGGCTTAGGGTGAAATAGAACAACTCCCCACTGGCCGTGTACCCCCTGCGGGTCACGTTTCACAACCTGAAACAGAGTATGGGGATTCCAGCTATGATGGTAGTTTCCCTGGGATTTAAATGTTAACGTTTGTTTCATTACATCCCTGAGAGGCACCTACATTTGTGCTACATTTGTGCTTGGTGGGAGACGTTGACAAAGAAAGGTTATGAGTAGTTGAATAAATGCTTCGGACAGTCTTGCAGCCGCTGTGCTGAGCTCCCAGCTGGACCCTGCACGCTGACGCCCAGTCGCACTATTGATCCTTACGGCGTGTGTTCCCACTTTCCCAAGCGACTCTTTCGCAGTTTCTTTCACATCAGCCCCCAACACCCCCGTCCCATCCTCACCGATTGCGTCCTCCTTCCCTGAGAAAACGGAAGAAGTCAGGAGAGACTGTCCTCACCTGCAGGCATCGCCCCTCAGCTCTGACCCTCCACGCCCTGTGCTCCTGTCTAAACCCAGGCCCCCTCTTGGGCACTGGGGCTCCCCGCTCTCTGACTGCCCAGCTCTGCCCCAGGTTCTCCTCGCTCCTCCCTCAGAGCTCTCAGCTCTCCTGGGCTGTTCGCATCAACCCAGTGCGCCCTTCTGTTTCACTAGAAAACAAGCCCTTGAGTTCACCTGCCCCACCAGCTGCCGCCACGTCTTTGCTTCCTTCCCTTTGCAGCAAAACTTCTCAAAAGTGTCCTTACTTGCTGCCTTGATAGCTCTCTGCTCACCAGCGCTGCTCCTCAAAGACACCAGTGACCCCATGTTGGTCATGTCGCCTGGCCTCTGTCCTCAGCCTCTGAGACCTCGGCCACTCTGACAGGGTGATGCCCCCGCCTCTTCGTCAGGTGCAGGATCTCTGAGGCCACGCCTTGCAGATGCGCCTCCCTGCTGCCCTCTCTCTGCACTTGCAGATGCGCCTCCATGCTGCCCTCTCTCTGCACTCAGAAAGAGGTCACACAAACTCTCCGTTTGGATGTCTGAGACTCCCGAAATGCAACATCGGAACCGAATCTCTCCACGAGGATCTGCATCTCCACAGCCGCATGCTTAGCCAGAGCCCTAGAGTCATCTTGGGCTCCCGTCTTCCTCTCGGGCTTGCCCCGCTCCCAGCCAAGCTGTCAGGAAGTCCCGGTGACACTCCTTCCCATGGATCCAGGATCCCACCACTTCTCATGACCTAGTGCCCAGCGCCTCGGCCTGGATTACTGCCCCTCACTGGATCCCTTAGTCCACCCTTTCCCCTCCCGCCTGTCTGTTTTCTACAAAGAGCAGATCATGGTGCTTCTCTGTGCAAAACACCAACACCTCCCCATTTCACTCAGAGGGAACCAGAATCCACACGGAGGACTCTACAGATCGTCCCGTACCTCACTGACATCATCTCCTTCCTCTCTCTTCCTGCTGACCTCTGCCCTAACCATTCTGGCTCCTTGCTGTTTCCTGTGCACACCAGGATGCTTTCTCTCAGGGGCTTGCGTTGGCCTTTCCAAGGAGAGGTCCCCCGTATGTCCTTCCCCCAGGAGCCACGTGGCCAGCACCCCATCTCCCCCAGGTCTTTGTTGGGATGTCATCTGCTCGGTGACTGCTGTACTGTTCAGTGTTTCCATAGCACCCATAACTTCCAGCATTCTGTGTAACTTCATCTATTGTCTTTGTTGTCCGTGCTCCTTCCCTGCTGGAAGGTAAGCCCCTCCAGGGCAGGGCTCCGAGCGAGTTCACTCCTGTGCCCCACAGTGTGGAACGGTGCCCGCCACCTCAGTGCTCAGTAAGGCGTTGGAGGGAGTGCATCGGCAGGTACAGGTGTAAGATGAGCTCCTTGGTCCGCAGCGCTTCCGGGAGAATTATGTGTTTGTACAGGCCTGTGAGAGCCAATGAGGGTTTCACCACAAACAGAACAACTAACAACGTGTCCCCAGGGTTCCAGGGGGACTCTAATGAGCGACACACAGGAAGTGCCTGAGCCTGAGGAGCTCACCTGCTCACTTTGGAAAAGAGGCTGCACGCAAATACACAGGAAGTAAATCACTTAAAGATAGCATTTCCTCCCCAAATAGGTAAAGCCAGTGATGCGATAGAGCATGATGCGGCCATGTTACGTAGCTGGGCTGGCCAGGAAAACCCACTGAGACCGAAGGTCGAGGAGGAGGCAGGTGGAGTCTGGGAGTAGCTCTGCTCAGCCGATAAAGGCCCTGAGGTGGGAACGTGGTCAAGGAACAGAAAGGCCAGTGTGACTGGAGCACATTCAACAAAGAGTTGCTTGAACTATCCGTATGATCTTGAAAAATCCGAATGATCTTTTGGGGGAAACATCGTCATTAAATAATTTTTATTTTTTTCTGCATTGGAGGAAAGATGGCCAATTTATTTTAGACATAGATGATGTTGATCGGGACTTCGGCTTCTGTAGGTCAGTGGCTGGCAAACTACACAGCCCTTGGTCAAATCCACCCACTGCCTGGTCTTAAAAATGAATAAAGTTTCATTGGAATACAGCCACATCCGTTCAGTTATGTATCGCCTATGGCTGCTTTTGCAGAAAACAATGGTAGTTGAATAGGTGTAACAGAGACCACGTGACCGTGACCTATTTGCAAGTCTAAAATAATTACTGTTTGGCTCTTTACAGAAAAAGCTTGTTGACCCAGCTAGCGTGATTAAGGGTCCAGTTCCTAATAGAATTTAAAAACATCTGTATCCTGTGTAAGAGCACCAACTATTGATTGCCCTTAGCAACTGTTTCTCTTTACTAAAAAAACACACAAAAACTAAATTATTTGTTATGACCT